ACTAATATGTCTCTCTATTCAGTACGGTAATACAAATCTTTTTTCCTGCCTTCAAGTGAAATCTTTTTAAAGAGATTCTTCTTTCACATAGTGTTTGACTTCCTAAGACCCCTTTAGAGACAACTAATGGGTAAGTAAGTTTTCCACTTGTAGGAAACCAATATGGGGTGCACAAAAGTGTCTGCTAGGACTGGATATGGGAAAAAGGATATAGCAGTGTCAGGATGAGAACAAAGAATCCAGAAAATGTTGACCTACAGACTATAGGTTTAAAGACAAAGAAAATGCAGCTCAACTCCTTCTTTCTTCCAGAAATAGGAACCATTCATCTTCTTGATCAACGTAGATTAAGAAAACACAATAAAAAAGTTTTTACCAAGAATAGTTGACATCACCTTGGTATCTGCCTATGTTCTGAGCCTTGCTTTCCAGTTTTCCCATTGATTTCCCTTTCTTTCAATGTATTCCTTTCCTGGCCAGGATCAGTTTCTCCTGTTAGCACAGTATCTGAGTCCTTGATCTATGTTAGGGTGACCAGATGGGCCATATTGAAATTTAAAAGCATGATAGCATTTTTGTATGTCTTCCCCTCAAGAGTCCCAAAAAGCAGCAATATGGCCCCCTTTTCATAAGCCTTGATAAACTCCAGTGCTGCCCTGCCCAGGTGTGCTTTGCTCATGACCTAGCTATTATTTGCGCCAATAATTCCGGTGCTTTTGCATGCAAAGCTTGCCATTCATTAAGCATATTTCCTATGTGTCCAACTGAGCCCTGCTTTCCTAGTCTCTGCCACAACTGTGCTGATAAAAGCCAAAGAGGTATCTTTTTTCTGTCTGATTTGCCTCCGCTTCCACAGATCTGAAATGAGCTCAAGGGTGATGTCTAACTGGCTTACATGCTGTTCCAAAGGGACCAAAGCTAAAAGAGGTTATGTACCCTGTAGTGCTTGAAGCACTTTGGAAACTGTCCCCGTTCATTCGGGTGAATCAGACTTCTGGGATGTTCCAGCCACTGGGACAGGAAAAAAAAAACTTTTATAAGAAAGTTCCTATAACTATTATCAACTTATTATCTGTGTTTCAACTTATTATCTACTTCTTACCCTGTGCCCCAGACCTACTCATACAACTTCATTCTCCACTGTTATCTACCTCCTCCATGAAAAACATGCTCCTTTCTGCAGGCTTCTAAAGACTCTGGATTACTTTTGCTGAAATATTTAACCCAAGTGATTAATTATGTTATTTGTTTCCTCTTCAGTGTTGCATTGGTCTCTATAGACAGTATGTACTGACCACTCCATAGACTATGGGCTCAGTCACATGGTTTGCTTTACCTAATGCAACGTTAGCAGATATGCCACAAAACATGTTTAAGGAGAAGCTTTACAAGCACTTATGTGGTTTGGGTCTGCCCCCTTCCCCTCAGCTCCAGCTTTCCCATCTCCCAAGCATTTGCCCTTCACCGTGAGAGCAACATGCCCAGATAGTGGCTGCTCCTTCATGCTGGGTCTTGGAATAAGACAGTTGGGACAGAGCCAAGTCCACCAAGCTGAGCCAGTCCATAGCTATGCATAGTTAACCGCAGCTCTCCAGTAACATGAGCAAGAACAAAGTGAATGCTGGATTTGAGGGTTGTTGATACTGCAACAAAATGCTGACTAATATACCTAGCATAGGTTCATAATCAATATTGAGGGTCTATGGTGTGTCAAACATTGTTAGGAGTTTTATGTAATTTCGTTTTGAGTATCACAATAATGCAATAAAGCAGGTTAGCTTTTCATTTAAAGCAAAAGAAAATAAAGTTAAACATTAAGTAAGCATTCAAATCCAGGTCAATCTGAGCCGAATCTGAACTTCACTGCCTTGGCATCTGCCTTTTGAGGGACCAAGGGCATGGAAGGAGTGAGGGCACAAGGTCCCAGCTACATGTCGGGGTCCTGTTCCTACTGTGCAGCCCTGCTTCCTGCAGTGCTCCAGACGCTGAAGGGGAAGCAGCATGTTCTTCTGAGTTCTTCCTTGTTTCTTGGCCCTTAAAGAACTCTAGTCATCCAAAATGCCTTCATTTTCAGAAAGCCAAAGACTATCTCAACAGCTGAGATTTGAAGCAGGCATATGCCACAGCTACATCCTGTGTGGCTTCTGGTACACTATACCAACCCCTAAGCCCAGACAGCCAGCAGGACTAGCTCTGTCACCAGGCACAGCCTCTGCCCTCCTGTGCCTTGCTGGAGTACTCCTCATTTACTCCTTCCCCTTATGGCCTGGGATTTAACTAGGCAAAACTAACGCCATTTTTGTTAACTTTTCCCTGCACTATTTCCCTGACTTCTATGAACTCTAAGCCTCAGTATAAAAGGCCCCATAATAGACAACATTGTGCTCATTTAACTCAGGAGTTCTGGTTTGACCCACGTTCACCAGAAAAGACTGTCTTAGACTCAGCTTAACTCATCCAAGTCACATTAAATCAATGACACTGTATTTATGCTTTTAATTACTAAGATACCATGGACTTGCACAAATCACTTACTTCTTCTGAGCTTTGGTCTTCTTAAGTGTAAGTAGGCAACATCAGCCCTACTTATAAAATGGGATCACACACACACACACAAAGAGTACTAAAATGTGTAAATAAGCAAAATCAACCACCAAGTCATACTTTTCTTTATATTTCTGATCAGAGAAAAAAGCTAAATAGTTGGAAGAAGTAAAGAGGTAAGTAGGCCCCAGATCCAAAATTTGAGAAGACCAGCAAGGACATTCTAGGCCCATGCTGGTCGAAGAAGGATTCATCTCATCTGGTCCAAAGTGCTTGCCTCACTTTACCAGTCCCCAGTATGACCATATGTAATTATTCAGAGTAGACCCTATCCTAGTCACCAAGAATGGGGTGCTACTCATTTGTTTGGAAATTCTAACAGCAGATTTTTCCAAACATTACTTAGGATGAAAAGGTTAAAGAAAACTGAAAGCTCCCTGATTGCTCATCATTGGGTAAATTATAAAACAGAGAGTTGGGCCTGTCGTTTCATCAAAATTAAATAGAGAAAAGTCCAGAATCATAGAACCTTAAAGTTGACAGATATGTTAGAAATCACTACATTCAAAATAAATAAATAAATAAATTTTTAAAAAAAGAAATGACTACATTCAATAAATTATAAGACTAAGGTATAAACCTACTGGTTAATTATGGATGACCTGGGATTGGAACCCAGCCCTCAATTCCCAGGTCAGGGATCATACCACTGACCAAGCCCTCATATTAATATTACTAAGATTAGACCCAACACTAAGTACTTGTACTAAGATTATTCACATAGTGCTCTTATTAAGATCACTAGCATTAATATTCAGGTCTGTATAAACTACCCTCCATTAAAACCATGGGTCCAAATTTTAAAACTTGCTTAAGACTTTTTAAAATTTAAGTTTATTGGTACAATTGGTACAATAATAAGCACATACATTATAGGGAATTTGTAGTGATGAAGATATTGAAGCACTTTCTGGTTTAATCTAGAGAGGAACATCCAGGTTGGGGGACAATGGGCATGGGGCTGGTTGTGATAACAGCACTGAAAAACATTCTGGTATGGACAAGGTGGTTTGTGGAGGAAATGAGAACAGAGGAAGGAGAGAAATGAGAAGGTACACAGGATGGAAAGGATAAAATGGATGTTGAGGTGTCAGCAGTCTCTAAAAGTGGCTCTTCCTTCTCCAGGATGAATCATAATACTCCGACTGTGTTTACCTGAGGCTGTTCTCACACAGTCCCCATGTGACTACCTGAACACAAACCAGCCCAGGTAACAGACGCTCCCCCATCCCTAACCTTCTCCTGCGGGTTGGAGGGGCATCACATAATACTTAGTGCGGATCTCTATTATTATCTCTGGACAATGCTTACTGTTTCATAACTATGTGTCCACAATTCTCTAACTGGTATCTCCACCATCGGACTGGCTTCCAGCAGCCGGTGGTTGTTTCTTACATATCTAATGAACCCTACCGCAATAGCCAAGACATGGTAGTAACCCATTGACTGACAATGCATGAAAAAAAGTCTTAACTCAGCTACCACCTCTTCTGAGAATGGGTTTCAGAGCTGGTTTGGGTTGGATGTGCTGCCTCCAAGTTCTGTAGCACTGATATGGTGGTCATCATGGACTATTAGGAGCCAAGACAAACTTACCTGAACACACACCAGAGTCACTAACTAGAATGACCACTCTTTGAGGGCAAGGACTATTATGTCTTCAGTGCTTGATGCTTAGAAATCACAGGAATATAATACACATGCTTCCAGAATGGATAGATAAATAACTTAATAAAACCAAAAGAATGTCTAAAGAACTGCTGACCAAGCAAACAGTTTTTATCACAGAGATGGCAGAAGATGCTCCTTGAAAACACCTTAGAGTGGGTTCCAGAGCACTGATAGGCTCCAGCATTTCCCACAGCCTCTACCACCAGAAAAGACAAAACACCACTCATATTCAGGAACAAAGACACAGTGACCCCCTCCTTTGAGTCTTATGGCTACATGGCACCTGTTGCTAAAATAGCAGCTGATAAGCATTTTGTTCTGTTCAAAATAACAACAACAACACAACCAATCTACTGCAGGAAGCAGCATCACAATGACAATAAGAAATCATGAGGCTAAATATATACCAGAAGAGAAATACAGAATTTTAGCAATGAAAGACAAGGAAGGAGCTGCTAGAGCCCGAGGAAAAAAAACTGAAGTGTTGATTAGAAATTGCTCAGCCTGCGTTGAAAGAGAAGCAAAGGGAGGGGGAGGAGAGGGAAATGAGAGGGAGAGTTAACTGGGAGGGAGGGAGAGAGAAAGGCAGAAAAGGGAGGGAGAGAATAAATGTGGCTTTTTTTTTTTGGCTCTGTCTCATTTTTAATCTGTCTTTTCCTTTCTCCCTCCCATTTTACCACCCCCTCAAAAGGATTCTTTGATTGGGTGAGACTAAAATTCCTTACCTTTCCTTGCATGGTTTCTCCGTGAAGAATGAGCCTGAATCCATGTCACCCTTGACTGCTGTTCTCTCCTCTAGTCCCCTCTCCAGCCGCCATTGTTAGCTCCTCTCTACTTTGCTCAGGCTGAGAGGCAGCCTGTCCAGGGGCACCTCTGACAGCAGTGATGGGAGGTGAGGATGGGGAGGGGTGATCAATGGCATTGCAAAAGTCAGCCTCACTGCAGGGCAAAGAAGCCCCAGTGATTTGACTGCTGAGAGGGCCTTGGTAACTAACCTGTTGCCTGCTTCTAGGAGCAAATGGCAGAAGGCACACAGAAAACATCACTTCCTCAAAACTAAATGAAACAAGAGACCCTCGAACCAAAAAGCCAGAGTGGCATGCCGGGAGGATGCAAGTAGTACTGACTTGAGTTCAGAACTGGAAGCTACCCCCAATCACCAGTGTGCTGCATGGATATTGCTCCTTTGGGCTTCCATTTCTATAAACTGAGAGCTGGATTTCTATGGCCACTCCACAGAGAAGATTCCACTGCAAAGATACTGTTAGCCCTCTAGAGAGGGTCATATGTTCTCCTTCACCCTCTCCCTACAAATCTCCAGAGTGCTTCTCTTGGCGGGCACAGAGGGGTCTGCAAAGCACCTCTGACTCAGACCCTTCTCAGATGCCTGGCTGACTTCAAGGAGACATGATAAGAAGCCCCAGGCTTAACTCCCCTAAAGATGAAAACTGAGAATAGGGGCAAATTAAGGAATCAGAATCAGTGAGGGTGGCAGTAGAAGGCACCAGGGGAGGCCAGGGGAGGGGGAAGGCATGGATCAGCCAAACCCTGAAATTAGAGATGATTCATATTTGAACACTGTGGGAGGGATGAACTCAGAGCAGCCCGGAGAAGAGGCTAACTCTGCCGAGGGTGCCCTCCACAGTCTAAAGCCAGAGGGAGGAAGGAGCAACGGCAGAAGCCTTTCATTTGAAATAGAAAAAATAAAACAAAATAGGCAATCAACAATTATTCTGAAGCTAAGGGAAACAGGGTCTTTGTCTTTTTTAAGTGTATTTTACTCTTTTTCAGTGACTTACTTGGGACATATTACTCTGGGTCCCCTTTGCCCAGTGACTTTTTTTTTTTTTTTTTCAGGTCTTCTGGTACTGTTTCTTTCTCCTCCTGCCAGTCACTGCCCCAGCAAGTCTTACTGACCTTTCTGACACCCTGTTCTGTTTCCTCCACCGCTCTGTCCCCACCTGGTGTTGAATGGCTGTCCAAGCTGCACCCCAGGCTACCCCTCTGCAAGGGTTCTTTCTGAGTTTCTCAGGCTCCGCTATCCTGGTTGTTGCCTCACAGTACAGAACAGCCACGTAGGGTGGCATGTTGGGAACAAGGATCTCTCCTCTGTCCCCCCCCCCTTTATTCATCTATGTTTTCGATACCTAATAAACACAGTCATCTTGGGAATCGGTGCATATCCATATCACATCTTAATCTCTTCTGACTTCCTCTTCCCCTCTTCTTCCCTCCCGCCTTCCCGAAATCCAGGAGGATGGAAAGAAAGTTCGGCAAAAGGGAGAGGAGGTCAGGAAGAGCCCAGTCAGATCAGTGCTGGGGAGAAGAAGCTCAATGCGTCTGGACATTGGCAAAATGTCTTTACTGGGGGGAGGGGATTGCTTCTGTTAGAAAGGCTCCGCTTTTACCAGGGGACCACTTTCCAAAGAACAGCAGTGAGACTGAGCCAGGCCCTAAACTCCGACCAATCAAGCCTCTACCACCTCCTTCCCATTTCCCTCTCTGGGGTACCCCCAGGAAGCCACAAAGAATGCACCCCGGGGCTCTCCCCTTCCCGGGGGAAGGAACTGGGGAGACACTCCAGAAAAGCCCTTCCAGAAAACCAGTGGTCTGAATGCATCAGCCCCTGAGTCAGGCTTTGCCGAGGACTTAGCATCACAAACTCAGGGTAAGACCGCGGAAGAACCGTTGTATGGAGGGGAAAATGCACATTTGCAGAACAACCTCACAGCGCCAGAGAGCCAAACACCTGCATCTCCATCCGGCTCAATTGTAATCGGGCTTCTCCCCAGCCTCCATCGTTCACACACACACACACACACACACACACACACACACACACTCTCTCTCTCTCTCTCTCTCCCTCTCTCACACACACACACACAAGCAGCTTTAAAACAGGGTCAACAAGGAAGCAGTCGGGCGTGGGGTGAAAGCAGCCACCACTATGAAAATCTATATATAAAGTTCTTCGTCTCTGCAGGAAATGGCTCTTACCTGTTAGCCAGAAGAGAGCTCGCCACCCCAACACGACCCTGTCCATCTCCCTCAACTTCCCATGCAGGCCGGGCGTTTGCAAAGTGGGCAGCGGCTGCTGGCGGCGGGCGAGGAGTCCGGGCAGACTGGGCGCGCACTCGGGGCCGCGCGCTGCACCGTGCCGCCTGCCCAGGGCGCCTGCCGCGGCTCCGGGCTCCGCTCCGCGCGGCGGCGCCTTCCCCCCGCACGCCTCGCCTCGCCTCCCCGCCCCGCTCCGCCCGCCGCCCGCAGCCCGCCGCCCGCGCTCCGCCCGCAGCCCGGCTGCCGAAGTTTCCCGATCACGTGCCGCCCCTCCCGGCCCGGAGGTCAACGGCCTGTCCCCGAGTCCGCCACGGACACGAGTGAGAACGGGAGCTGGGGACTGGGTATTGGGAGGTGGGAACCGCGCCCCTGGAACCAGGAGAGAAGGACAGAGCGACAAGAGTGAGGGACCTGCATGCACCCGCCTCGATTCCTTACGGGACTTAGACTAGCAAGTCCTGGAGGCGGGGGTGTTTGCCTAGCTCTCCCCCACCCACCCCTCGTCTGGTTTCCTTTGCGACAGTGCAAGGAACCCACAGGCTCAGCAGAATTGAAAACGCGTAGGAGGGAATCCCTCCTCATAACTTTCCTTGTTAAGACATATTTGGGTAGAATGAGGGCATACAGCCACTTGACAGAAAATACGTAAAAATAGAATGAAATACCAATTTATAAGAACTTAGATCAGCCCAACGTTGAGTTTGCAGGGCAAGTTCACTGGAAATATTTGCATTTCTAAAGCATGCATTGACCTGATGACTGTAGAAAAGGGGTTACCGTGTGTTGACAGAGAATTGAGAAGTATATTCTGCCTTAACAGATGTTCAGTAAGTCTACTAGGGACCAAGAACCCAGGCTATAGCGATGAGTAAGGCAGACTTGCTGCCTTTGAGGAGGCTTCTTTGGGTCTAGGGCAGGAAGGAGTGTCAGTCTACCAGAGGCATAATACACATTCATTGTACAGTGGCCATAAAAACCCAGGAAAACTGCCTGAGGAACCTGAGAAGGAGCAAGTTAATCTTGGAAGGGTGCTGAGGACCACAACCAGGAAGAATTAAAATTTCCACAACAGGCAGGCAAGGTTTGAGCCTTCTGGTGTAAAGGAGGCAGGTGGGGAGCATTGTGGGCAAATTAAGGGAGCACAAGCAGAAAGGGCTAAATCAGCTCTGAAGACAGGCTTGAGGGTGTTCCTGAAGCAGGCAAGCCCCATAGGTAGGGATGTGTATGTATGCAGGGGTAATGTCTGAGAATGGGGGAGAGAGTGGGGAGATCCTGTGTAGTGGTCTTTCACAGCTGCCCGACATCTGAATTCCCTTCATATTTTCCAGCAGCAGAAGGCAGAAAATGTAGAACCGCTTCCTTGACCATCCCAGCTGGAGTGCAAGGCTGGGCCCCTGGGCAAGGCCACCATCCACTCACAGGGTTTGGAATCTGACTCAAACTACTCAACACACAGAAACAGCAGAGAATCAGTCTTGCTATGAGCCGGCAGCAGCATCTGCTGCCCAGGCCGGCTATGATAGAAGTCAAAGCTTCTGCACGAGATTCCAGTCTTCTTGACAATTCCTTGAGCTACCCAGTATCTTTTCATAAACTGTCTCTTTTTTTCTTTTAGCTAGGATGATTTCTCATGGGTACCATTAAGAATCTTGAATAATATGCTATGTGAGAGAAATTTCTAAACTATTTCTTTTCATGAGCAAGAAAGAAAGGAAGGAAGAAAGAAAAAGAAAAGAGAGAGAAAAAAAGGAAGAGAGCTACCTAACATTTTTTAATTTATCAGTGCTGAGCATTGTTCTAGATTTTCCACGAACTTTCTCATTTCGTCCAAATGAGGAAGCTTAGGACCAGAGAGGACAATTAACTTCACTAATGTCAGGTAGCTAGTAAGTGGCAGACCTAATATTTAAACTCAGACCTTCTGACCCCAAAATACGGTGTATGTGTTTGCACCATAAAAGGGACAACACTAAAAGCTTCATTGATGATATACTTATATTTTGTTCTCCAGTTAACTACTTTATGAGATGTGTTTGAAAAATATAATGAATATTTAAATTTTTAAAACTTTTCTTACAGTTACTCCTCCTCGAAATACTGCTCCTGGCTGGGAATTTAGCTCAACGGTGCAGATGCTTACCCGGCAAATTCAAAGTCATGAGTTTGATCCCCAGTACCAAGGAAAAAAAAATACTGCTGCCCATTTCAAACACACTTATCCCATCATTCTTGCCACTTTGTGAAGCAGATTTGGAAGTCCTTTTTTGTGTGTCCTTTATTTCTTTCTTTCTTTTTTGTCTTTTTGAAACAGGGTCTCGCTATGAATTTCATGGTAGCCTTGAACTCACTTTGTAGCTCAGGCAGACCTTGAACTTGCAGCAATCCTCCTGCCTTAGCTTTCCAAGTGCTAGAATTACAGGCATGTGCCACCATTAGTTGGGCCCTTGTGACCGCCTTGATGTCTTGAATTGATTCAAAATGTTTACCTTTCATGATCATTTTGACTGTGGAGAAAAGCCAGAAATTGCACAGTACCAGTAAGTAAGATGGAGGAAAACACACCATAATATGTCTTCTAGCTTGCCTTTTTCTTGGATGGTACTCAGCAGCAGCATTCACCATACTTTTGATCATATCATAAAGACATTCATGAAAGAGGACTTCTAGAACTGTTTCAAGAAAGTTGCAAAAACGACATAAACATAGTCAAAGTGAAGGGGAGTATTTTGATGGGGATTAATGGCAACATGTCTTTTATTATAGTAAATTTTTAAAAAATTCACCACATATTTGATCACCTCTTGTAAGTGTATGCAGATATACAGTGTGCAAAAAACTGAATAATGTTTAAATTAAGCAAATCTTGATGGCATTTTATGAAAAACTTGACAGAAGGAAGTTTGGGTGAAAAATTGGAGGTGGGTGGAGAAAAGAGAGCTAAGATGTGCATGGGATGGGACAGCAGATTCTCCCCAAAGTGAACTTTGAATGTGTCTCAGGGTACATGACGTGTGTACTTCAGCAGGAATCAAGAGGTTGCAAAAGAGTGGTGAACCGTAGAATACAGGCTTCTGTTCTACCATCCCAGGTGCTTGTTTTCTGTGTACTGCCCTGCGTCTACTTTATAGCTAGAGAGATAGACTTAGTCTGTCTTGAATCTGCATGAAAATGGGGGCCCAGACCATACCCTAAATCACAACATGTGTCTCTTCCAACTGCAGGCTGTTATCAAGGCGACAGGGTGTTCATATAAACTTTAACCAATGATTCAAAAACATGGAACCTAGTGGATGGAGATGGAGGATGTAACGTTTTGCAGTACTGTTGGTGAGTAGTAGGGTTATCAGACCCAAAATTCCAGTGTTTTGAACTTCCAGCAGCAGAATCACATTATAGCATCTGTTTAAAACACAGATTTCTAGCTGGACATGATGGCACTTCCTGTAATCCCAGTACTCTAGGAGGCTGAGGCAGGAGGATCATAAATTAACCACTACTCCTCCATTGCCAAGCAATGTAGTGACTTAAAAACACCCCATCTCAAAGTAAGCACTTAAAAAATGGATGGGGTCATAAGTCAGATCCAACCTAGCACCTTGGGTTCAATCCTTAGTATGGGGTGGAGGGTGATATCAGAAATTTCAGGAGCCTAGAAATCTGCATTTAACTGCCTTCCACACTGCTTTCAATGAACAGTAATGTTTAGGAGGTGATACATATGACAGTCATGGTGGTGCAAGCTGTAATCCCAGAGCTTCGGAAGCTGAGACAGGAAGACTACAGTTAGTTTTAGGCTAGCCTGTACTACATAGTGAGAGCCTGTAGCCCGTACTACATAGTGAGAACCTGTCTCAAAGAACAAATAAATAAAAAACGCAATATATAACTTTCCATTGTCCTCCTGGGAAGCTGTTGAATTGACCTTTGTGAATGAAACTATGACCTGGTTTATCTTCTGTTTTCCATGTCTTAGCCAAAGAGGATGAGACTCCCCCCTACCCATAGAAGTGGATTCGTCATAAGCAACAGAGGACCTTGATTCCCAACTCATCATAGTTTTTCTGCAACCAGAGACCAACATGATGGAATAAGGTCTCATGGGGATCACAGTGGGATTCTAAAGAAGCCACAGCTAGAATTGCATTAGGTGGGAAAGGGTGAGGACTCACTGGCTGCTTCGTCAAAGCTGCTCACATTAGAACAGAATTAGGACACAGAGAAAAGAGATGTGAACCACCGCAAGGAGACATGCTGGTAGCTGGTAGCAACCACATAGTTATAAATATAATGCAGCTGAATCCTCTTTAAAACATGATTTCATTGCAGACACACAGGCATGCATGCACATGAATCCTGCTTAATGTGGGGCTTTTTAAAGCACACAGATAAAAATCATATCTCTCCTTCTCTCTGATTTTGCACTTCAGGAGGAATATATGCAGTGAGACTGTAAAACAGATGCCATGTTTCTTATCTAAAACTGGTTTGTCTTTTGTTTCTCGTGTTACCTGTTAGGTTTGTTATCTTCCCCATCCTCCATACCGTCAAAACCACCCTCAATGAACTCTAAGTTTTAAATATATCAGATAATGAAACCAAAGAATTTAAAGTTTAAATTCTAAAACTCAATACCAAAATCAAAACATTTTCAGCTGTTTCATATTGGGGAATAAATTGTTCCATTAAAAAACAAAACTTTTAGAGCCAGGGATTTAGTTCATCACCTGCCTGGCAAACGTGAGTTTGAGA